GTAGCCACCCGAAGCCGAAGACAAAGCAAATATCCAAGCAGCCACCACTTCATTCCCAGCCTAAACTAAGTTTAGCCTGACGAGAGTTTTTTAATAAATCTGGTGATATGGAACCGCGCCACAACCCCTTAACCTGGGATAATGTAATCAAATGATAATTGCTAACTATTCTCAGAGATAATGCAATCAAATGGTTATTACAATCAAGCCGCCCCGGACCCCTGTGTTAGATGTTATACTGTATTTGGAATGCGATGAATTGTTTATTAGACTATAAGAAATCCTCTTCCTTCTTGCATTGGCAAGGAGTTTGCTTTAACTTAGGTATATAAGCAGCTTGGCAAAATAGACACGGAGCTGCGAAGACCTGATTCTTGCTGTGCATGTTTGAGTCTGCAACTTTGTTGTGATAAGACACTCAATCCCAGTGATTGTACTTACTCAACATAGACGGTGTAATTACTTCATCACAGATTGTACGGGAAATCTTAACCCTTGAAAACAACATTTGGCCTACCTAAATTTTGACTACTACCCGTGCGTCTAAACCATTGGCCAATCAGTGGTGCCCCACGGTGACATGATACATGCACGTTTACTGCGGTGATCTGATTAGCTAACCGAACTTGGCGTGGTAGGGAGACTGTCTCTACTCTCTAAGTCCTCTTCTTTCCTTTTTTCATCCCCCTCATGCACTCCGTTCCTTGAACGGGAGGCGGGACTTAGCGATACGGTCGATCCGGCAAGGGAACCTGTGATAGTGCAGGGCACCCCTTGTCCGGGGGTCACCAGTAGGTGGCAACTTTTTAGACATAACTATAGTCACAGGTAACCTGGGCGCAGAACCCTACGAGCCCGACGCCCGTCCAAGAGGGAGGGGGCGGGGTCATTGCTCCCAGGCAGGAGCCCTGCGTTATAGGTAGGATTAGATGTAATCAAGAAGATGACAACTAGCATTAGAATAAAACATAGAGATAAGGGACACTCTATTGGAAGGGGAAAAGTGGCAGAAATCACTTACAACAAACTGCAAGTCCCACTAACTAGAATATTCAGCACCAATGAAGGTTTTAAAGTAATCTGTAAAGATGACTTTGATTCAGATAAAATCCTTTCAAAAGAAGCAAGAGATATATTTTACAATGAAGGCCTTATTGTTGTCATGCCACCAGAACAAAAAGCAAAAAGATCAGTTTTTGTTCGTCAAGTCGATCAAGAGATCGGGAGGAAGACCTGAAAGAAGAACTGGAACGCCAAAATAGGTGGATGAAGATTGAAGAAGTCATTAAGATAAAGGACTATACTCATGTTTGAAGAAGTGTCAATGGCTGAGAAAGTTTTGCAACAGGGCTTTCTAATATTCAACATGTCAGTCACACCACATCAAATAAAGAAGGAGACATTCATCAGTCTGCAAACTTGCTTCTCCTGCTACAAATATGAAGAACACACAACGAGAGACTGTCCGGAAAAAGAAAAAAGTACTGCTCAGATTGTGCAGGCGACGACCATACCTACACTGAATGTAAGAATACACATGTTGGCTGTCTCAACTGTAAGAGAAACGGGAATGCATACATAGGACATAGGACGTTAGCAATGGCATGCCCAATAAAAAACACATGATAAAGTACAAGGAACAAGAAACAAGGAAAAAGGAACAAGACAAGAAGGATACGACATACGTCGAAATAGCCAAGAGAGCGGTCCAAGAGGCTCATAGACCAGAATCCACAGTATTATTAAACCTATGAGCCAATACATGATAAGTTGGGGTAATGATTAGTGCAGGATCTACACATTTGCACAATATCATTGCACCCGGATCATACAATGAGGAATTAAGGAAAATGTTTAAATTGAATAACCTACCAGAGATGATATTTCCAGAGAATCCACAATCCGAAAAACTATTTCAGACAACATATGCAAGCGAACTGAGAGAAAGACTACATCAAGACGAACAAAGGTTTGAGCAACAGCTGATACACAAGGAACACAAGCGACTGATAGAGATCCCAGACAAATGACTAGAAGTGACAAAGAGAAGATAGAAATAAAAAAAGGACAGACAAAGGAGGAGGAGGAGAGAAGATAAGATGGAAACTGATCACAATATACAACCTGAATTCACATGAAGAAATTGGATTAAAAGTTATCACTACAACAAAACATGGAAGCCCAACATCGAGACCAACAGGAGGGACAATAGTAAAAAACGGTGAAGGAGGGATATACAAGTGGACATATCAAGAAAAATCCCTAAGTGAAGATTATGTCTGGTCACTAATTACTACGGACAAACTAAAGATTACGGCCAAAGACTTTAAAATAGTAGACCCGTCAGAGTATAGAAGAGTCAGAAGCGGGAAACAGGATGATAGGTCTCCACTCCAACTGCCACAATCCAAGTATAAGAAATAATGGACAATAGACAAACAGTAAGAACTTTAAGAATAATACAACACACCGTAAGAAACTGGAAGACCGAGAGAATTAA